ATCTATATTTTCACGACATACTGAAAAGTTACTGAAATACTTTGTAGTGTACTCTGTCTTCATCGCCATTACATTGGGTCTATTGTAGGGTAGAGGCGCACAGATCGAAAGACCCAAAATACGCAGAACACAAAGAGGATGAAACTGATTCTATCCCCGGAGCGGCATATACTAGATGAATGGGCTAGAAGACCTTTCCGGTTCTCAAACTGCTCCTTTAAGATGCTTCGAGCACATCTGGGATGTTGGCTGCAATACATTTCCGTTTCGCCCAATCGAATCATCGAATGTCCATATTATGGCAAGCAACCTAATGATAGATCAACATTTTGCGAATGTTCCCCAACTGATCCTTCCACACATTTTCCTAATTCGGTTTTTTTCTCTAAAATTTCTCTCAATAAAATTATTTGCTCCTCTCCCTTGTGCTGCGGTGGATCCGTTATCTAGCGACTGTCATCTTTACCTCACAACCTGGTCACCTACTTAAGCGCAGGAAAAGAACGTACTTCTTCCCATACACCCGCCGTCAATAATCCACCTGCTTCTATTCGCTATACTGCAGCCCTGTTCTCCTACTTTAATAAGCTTCCGACCTTTTTTTCTCGGAAGTTCGACTTTGATCTCAATTTCCACCTTTTCCTCCTCACAGACCTCTTTCTTTCGCTGCTCATGGGCTTAGCTCTGCGTGCGATAACGACCCACTTTGGAGAAGTGAAAACGGCCTTCTTCATCGAATGCACCTTTGGCTTGCTATCTGAATGTTCCTTGACTTAGCGTAGAATGGCTGAGAAGTTCACCAATAAGTCAGATATAGTTGATATTACATATTTATTTATATGTTATTTGTTTTATTATGTTTAATATTATTTAATATTATACCAATATCAACTAAGCTAACCAAGCCTTCCATCCCTCCGGGGTCGGTGAATTGGTACCAGACTCGTCTGGGAGGATAAAAGCACTGACTTGTACATCGGCTGGCCACCGCAAGTCATTGTATAGGCCACATACGCACTCATTACGCCACTACGATTCTGAATGGAAGTCGAGTGCGGGGGCGCATCCCTCAGACGGGATTGATTAACGCCAAAAACTTTATCCTTTTATCCTTTATACCAATATCAATATTGAACAACTGATTTCTATTTGTTTTTTGGCAATTGCCTTTCTGGCCAGCAAGATAAACAGCTCAGCTTTTTGGGAGAAGGCGGATGTGGAATCGGCTGAGTAGTATCAACCTATTTAGATTCAAACCTTTCTTTTATGGGTGGGAGTGTCATTCTCAGTCAAAGCCTATAGATAGTCGGAGTTAACGGAAAAACGGAATTAAACGATGAGCAAAAACACCACTGGTTTTTGAGAATGAATTCGAGGGATCAACTATGTTCTCCTCTCCATTCCCTTCTGCGTAGTCCTAGATTTTTAAATATACAAGTAAACACCTATCTTCGGATTTATGGAGGCAGGCAAATGGTATATGAATGACTGAAGGTCCATTTGTTGTAAGCCCTTCTCATACGAAAAGAGCAAGTTCCTTCCGCTCTATACAATATCGTTTTTTAACTCACTTTTCTTCTGTAGTCTCGCAAGTTGAGATGTTTCCTAGAAGATTACCTCGATTAATTCGTTTCCGCTATCGCGTACTTGAGAGGAGGAGGGATAGCTCCATTGTTGCCCCTTCTTCCGGTCAATAGGTCAATTCTCAAGCTGTAACTCATTTGAGTTTCCAAAGGATCCTACCTCTACAGCGTCCATTAATCGTTACCAAAATCGTTCAGGAAGGGAAGGTAATAACTGGCAGTTGTTTCAGCGCCTGCAGATCGTTGCATAGGCAATACATAGGTTCTGCGGAGGGGATCAATCAACCTCAGAGAATTTTGTGGTTTTTAACCTCCCGCGGTATTTGTTGCCAGTGATGAGGATTAGCTTCACATTTTCGGGTTTGTCATTGAAATTGCCTGCGACTCATGAGGCTCCATAGTGACTTGTCAGCTCAAAGTTCTCAGGAAAAAATATTCCCTATGAACTCTTTTTATTCTTACTGCCAGGAGTTTCGACGACCAAGCTGGTCGCATTTCTCTTCAATGGTATCTCTAACGAAATCTTCCAAGGTTGCAAAGAAAGCGATTCTAGTTTTGGAGCTTCTTTTCTCTAACCTAACTAAAGCTCTCTCGCTTACTTGGAAAGCGGAAAAGATTGTAATTTCGTTCAGAAAAGACGATAATCTGGTTTCCATCCATAAGAGTAGCGACATCAGCGAGAAAAACCCTTCTGCCGAAGATGGAGTGATATATTTTGGTACGAAACTGTCTCCGCAAGCCTCCCCTTCCATCTGCGTGGACCAGGGAACTCCGAGGTCCCCGCAGATGGGAGGGGAGGCTAAACTTTGACAAGACAACTCACTACTCATCCACTGTATTCTATAAGCCCAGATCTGGTGCTCATGCCCTCACTTTCAGAGCAGCTCTGACGGTAATGTAGCAGATTATAACTTCTAAGGAAATGTCCCCGTAGAGCTTCGCCAACTCCATACAAAGTCATTCCGATTTATCCTCTCCGTATCTTGGCTTTGAAATGTGAACGACGTATGTTTTCAGATCTGCGGACAAGTCCTATCCTTTGGAGAGCAAACGCCTGAGTTAGATTGTTGAAACTCCCCGCAAACTGAAATAAACCCGTGCATATTGACAGAGACACCCACACCGCCACCGTTGTTGACGATTCCGACACGTAGTACTTCACAAATCTCTTACATTGCACGTAAGGAGAATTAGCGTCTCGTGTTGGTCGCCTCGATGACATCATACTTGATAACCTTGCAATCAGCACCATATCTTCAGTTTACGCTGCAAATAGTAACCACTACACCATCGGAAACACATACGTCATTACGTGCTTCCGAGGAGACGGGAGATCCAAATAAAGTCAGACCAGAAGGAACAGAAGGTGCAATGTACGTGATTCGTATCTCCAATCAGAAGCTCACTCCGGACTCTGACTATAATCGAATCCCGATGAGACAGCGTCAAGAGGCACGCAACTATAGCTATCCGGGAATGGGATTCCTCCCTGAAGCGCGGACGAGAGGAGATTCTGCATGACCCGCTCTCCTAGCTCTCCTTGTTCGCCAGCGACATGACTATCCCGTAGGGTTATACTTAAGGTGGCAATGATGTGAAAGGCTGTTGACTTCATGAAAGTTGGCTGAACTTTTCCATTTTCGAAGTTCTCAATCGAGCTTATTGCGATACATTTCATATTTATGATATATTTCATATTCAGGCATCTACGTTCGCGCTGGTGGTGCTGCGAATTTGTAATATGTTGACGATTTTCAATCTACTCGTCTTCACAACGAACGAATTTATTGTAATCCGCTATCCTCTCCATTATCGACGATACGTTCGACGTAAAGCCGTTTTAGCTACCCTCAGTTGCTGGTAAGTTTTTGCTTTTTCATCCATCACGTTAGCCTTAGCGAATCGGAATCTCTTAGAAAATGGCCGAGGTAAGTTGCGGAATCATTCGAAAAACAAATAATTTCGATAGCCACAACACTCTTTCTCTATCTTCTTAAGTTTAGTAAGGGCTTTTCCAAAATGCTTTCAATAAAGGGCAAAAATCGAAAATGGCGTACCTAAGCTTCATAGATATACTGCAATTCGAGTAAAATTGTTGCCATAAATCTAGCTGGCATTCGATAATGTGTCGAATGAACAGGCGAGTGTGAAAGTCTCGCAAAACCGGCAAGTGACGGGGAAAATCTTCGGCCTCTGATGGGACTTGGACGCATATTCGTGCTGTCTGAGTACCGTACTCTTTATCCCCTACGATACCGAGGCTCCGCTTGCCATCGCTTTCCTAATGGCTCTGGGTCACACTTTACAATGAAAATAAATGATGAGATTCCTCCTTGTGACGAACCTGTCTACTCCAAGGGTAACGCAAGGGATGCTGTCAGACCGAAAAACGGCATAGATAGTGTGAAATAAGGGACCAAAAGAAACCGGCGTGCACACCCAAAGGCGAAATAGTTTTCGCGGTGTTGTGGAGGCTGTAAAGATCGCCCCATTCGCACCGGGACTCACACGTTGTACGCAGGGAGCCAACTGTAGGCAATGGCGCGCGCATTTAAACTGCCCCTTCAAGTGGCCCTTTCATGCAACTTCTATAATCACATTCTCGTGCGACCCCTAATTTCACTACTTTTTTGATGCCCTAAATTCCCCTAAACACGTCGTTTTGGGACGTTTTCTTCACTACTTTTTAATTGACATGGGGTCTCACTTCCATTTTTCGTCTTGAATTGAATTTAATAGATACCCCGGAACTATCGTGGACTGCCTTTGGAGAAAACAAGGTATAACAGCTTTCATGCTGATGGTTTGATGCCGATGTTGGCTAATCAGCTCACCATGAAATTTATGAAAATGTGAAATATTTGTCATGATTGTTGTGCGATATGCGAATAGAGTAATAGCTCTAATGAAGCGCAAGCATTGCACCTTTTCCTATCCGTTTTTCGACCTCT